ATATGCAACGCACCACCGGATTGCTGTGCCCGCAAGCGGCTTGGCAAGTCCGGTAAAACTCGCGCTTTCCCTGTACTTTTGACATTTCCTACTACACAACTTGCTAAAGCCTGTATAGGCGTAGACTGACCGTGTCCACGCGGGCATACTTTGAGTCGATTATCATTTAGCCTGACAAAACCCCACCTTAAATATCATTAATGTCGTCAAACAAGCCAGAGGGCAAGCGCAATGCTCTTGTTGACTTGGCTGTTAAAACTCCATCCCATCCGACCATCATGCCAGCGAAAGACCTCAACTTGTCTCCAAAACAACGTCTCACTTCAAATGCGAAACCTGCAACGGCGCGAAGCTTGTTTTATGCTGAATTTAACGAAGGACCTTCGTCTGCACTGGCTGCCATAACCATCGATTCTGCTAACGATGTGACTTGTAACTACTCCGCCATGCATGCCACTGACGCCGTACCTGGTCAACCATCTAATCGCATTCATAACTGGGTATCTACTTAGACTACTCCACCGCCTGCTTTCACCGTGCCTAAGCAGAAACACCCTCTCACGATAACATGATGCTTCTTTCAGACTAAACTATACAGGTATTTTCACCCTCACTCTCCGCCATTGCCGTTGATACTGCCAGTGCTATGTCGCATAGCAACTCGGACACGCGTGTTGAGCCTACTACTGGCCTTGTAGACCAGACATGTAGGCCTGATTCTGTTGTTTACTTGTCTACTGACAACGATCGGCCCAATAATCGCAAGCGGCCTACACCCCCAATAACCTCGAACAACTCAGGACAACCCAACAATAGAAAACCTGCTAAAGCATGATTTTCGACGCCAGTGCAGTACAGGAACAACGCAGTTCTAATATTCACGGCGCAGAAGCATTGTAGCACAGGTCCCCGCGACGGTCACCTCCAGTTATGAATGTAGTAACGCCCCAACGCCTCCCACCCCGAGAAACTTATATAATTGAAATGCCCGATGCTGTTGTTCATTTGTTTAATGACAACAAGGGATCCAAGCGTTGTATTTGGCTTCCAACCCCAAGAACCTTAAAAAACTCATTCCAAACTAAAAACAGATAAAGCCATAAAGTACGGCTATCAATGCCAGTACGGTACCATATCCCAGCGAAATCCAAAAAGCACAGTGCAGATGAACAGGAGCGCAGATCGCCGCATAAATCACCTTCATTTATGAATTTGGTAATGCCTCAACGCATTTTCTCACCACGCAAACCTTATCTAGTTGAAATGACACAGATAACAGGGCTCGATCGCGGCCACAACCGCACCAGTGTAAGCAGCGCCTCTTCCCCATAACTCCATACCGTTTAACATGCACCAATAGTGCCGGCAAAACCACGTTCTAAACAAGTCAGTTCCATTCGCAACACCGCTTACTTGCGATCACATGAGCTTCATATATCGCGGACGAAGCGTAGTCGGACGCAGCTGAATGGCTTACTTAATAAGGCGAGTTACCTACCTGCACCGCTGTTGCCTAAGCAAGACCACCGCACAAATCTGACCAAATACGCACCTCATCCAAGGCAGCTTGCCTTGGCCCTCAACAATTCTACCCCTTTTTATTAGTCAATGCGGGACATGGCCCGCCTTATAGATAACAAACCATGCAGATACATCTAGCACAACTTTTGCACCCTCTGCTACCAACAGTCTACAGTCACTCTCAACTTCATGGCTGCTTTCTACCGACCCACAGTTAAATAAATAAATAAATAAATAGATAAATAAATAAAAGGTATATTCTCGATAAAACGAGACACACCTGTAAAGGCGTGAGCAAATATGCATACAAGCATAGCTTCTTTGGAATGTTAAAACATTTCATTTTAATGAAAGGTAGAAACAAACGGACGTAGTCCATACGAGTGAGTGTATTGTCAGGTAATAGTAAGACCAAGGAACATGAGGGCCCCACGGCGCGCA